GACCCTGAGCCCTGAGCTTAGAATGGCCGTACTGGGTCAGACCAAAGGTCCATCTAGCCCAGTAGCCTGTCTGCCAACAACAGCCAACACTAGGGACCTTGGAGGGGATGGACCGAAACAATGACCAAGCCATTTGTCTCGTGCCATCCATCTCCAGCCTTCCACAAACAGAGGCCAGGGACATCATTTCTACCCCCTGGCTAATAGCACTCCATGGACCCAACCTCCATGACTTTATCTCACTTCTCTTTAAACTCTTGTCTAGTTCTAGCCTTCACAGCCTCCTGCAGCAAGGAGTTCCACAGGTTGACTATTTGGTTTTTGAAGAAGAACTTTCTGTTGTTAGTTTGAAGCCTGCTACCCATTCATTTCATTTGGTGTCCTCTAGTTCTTCTGTTATGGGAACTAATGAAGAACTTTTCTTTATGCACCCTCTCCACACCACTCCTGCTTTTATAGACCTCTATCATATCCCCCCTCAGTCTCCTCTTTTCTAAGCTGAGAAGTCCCAATCTCTTTAGCCTCTCTTCATATGGGACCTGTTCCAAACCCCTGATCATTTTAGTTGCCCTCCCCTCTCCCAGCCTCTCTCTTCACCTCTCCCACCTCCTTTTCCCAGTCTCCCCCAGTTTTGTTCAATAAAGAGAGTTTCTATTTTTGAACACACGTGACCTTTATTTTGTACATCAGGAAGGGGGGCTAGGGAGGGGTAAGTGGAAGGAGGTGAGGGAGGAATGGGGTACGATCCCCCAGTGGGGAGACTGGGCTGGCTCTGCGGGCTCCTCGGGGTGGAAGCTCTCCTGAAGCCCCTTGATTGACCACCCCTCAGGATGGCAGCCTGCGGCAAGTGCAGCCGGGCTGATGGTCGAGTGATGTGATGTGCCGAGTGTGGGCACTCAGGGCACTCCAAGCCAGGACTGATTTGCAAGCGGGGAACCCCTGAGAACTGTCTGTCCGGGGTGGGGGTTGGGTCCCTTTAAGCACAGCCCTCAGCTAGCCTGAGACAGCAGCTCCACGCTATAAGTCCTAATCTGATGCCCTGCCGGCACTGCTTCCGGCCAGCCTTAACCTCTGTTCAGGGTCCACTCAGTGTGGACATGCTAGTTCGAATTAGCAAAATGCTAATTCGAACTAGTTTTTAAGTCTAGATGCGCTAATTCGAATTAGCTTAGTTCGAATTAACTAATTCGAACTAAGTTAGTTCGAATTTGTGCTGTAGTATAGACATACCCTTAGAGAGCAGTGTTACACTTGAATGTAAGAACATACATAAGCTCACAGTCCAGGTCATGGGGTTATATGGAGTTATATTTTATCTTTCGTCCATGCTGCAACAGGCCGTTTGCAAGATCAGAAACTGAGATTAGCAGACTTCCGTGGTTGAGACATGATCTCACCGAGATACCAGTCATAGCTTATTTATGCTTTCCCAGGACTGAAAAAGGGGAACTTAGATCTGGACCTTTCACACACACAGGATGGTAGGAAAAATATCCTCAGATTCAGCAGCTGTATCATATATATATAGTAGCCCAATGACTCTGTAATACTGAAACGCTGGCTGTTCTCTCTGGGTGGCGCTGTTGCCTCCTGTCATGGCACTCGGCTGACTTCTGTACCGCTCAGCTGGGCCGCCGCACGGGAGCAAGCAGTACAAGTGGCTGTTTGGGCCCCATGCTCCCTATGCAGCACCCCCATGCTGCATGGGGAGTGCAGACCCCAAACAGCTGCTTGCTCCCGTGCAGCGGCCCAGCTGAGCGGCACAGAAGTCAGCCGAGTGCCACGACAGGAGGCAACAGTGCCGCCCAGAGAGAACAGCCAGGGGGCAGGGCCTGATCGAGTGTGCATCTCTGACATCAGGAAAGGGTGCCAGATTCAAAAAGAGGAGAGGACGTGAAGGAGGTGGAGAACAGCAAGCGAGCGTGAGAGAGACGCAGCAGGAGGAGAAGAGAAACACAGAGTGAGAGGCGGGAGGGGGAGAAGAGAAAGAGAGATGGAGAGAGAGGCAGGAGGCAGATGACAGCTGAGAGAGAGAGAGGGCGAGGCGGAGAGGAGAGAGAGAGAGGGAGAGAGAGGCAGGAGGCAGATGACAGCTGAGAGAGAGAGAGGGCGAGGCAGTAGGAGGGGAAGAGAGAGAGAGGCTGTTTGTACCGCTTGCTCCCACGTGGCAGCCCGTCTGAGTGGCGCAGAAGTCAACCGAGTGCCACGGCAGGAGGAGAAGGGGGGCGGGGCCTAGATGAGTGTGCATCCCCGACGGAGACAGAGAAGAGCAAGGAGAGAGTGAGAGGCAGGAGCGGGAGAAGAGAAAGAGAGAGAGAAACCAGAAGCTCAGGAAAGAAGACTAACGTGGAGGAGAGACCTGAAAATTACATCTTATAATGAGCTAATTGGCTAGTTATTATATAAAAGTCCCAAATAATTGATTCAGGCTGAGTTGAGTAATCAGGGCACAGGATGTGATAGTTGACCACAAAGGCCCGCAGCAATGAATTGACATATATGATAATAAGTTAAGAGCAATGATATGTTGACCAATAGGAAAAGAACACTTCAGCATTAGAACCATCCCCTATTGAATATGCATCAAACATGTTATCGTCAGGGTCACTTAGTATAGAAGTGGGACCCCAGCCAAGGAGCGAGAGGAAAGAGAAGGTGTAGTCCTTGGAAAGGCCAGAATAATGTCTCCTTGTGATGGGGAAGGTGAAGATAATGAGAGAGATGATGAGCTAACACCTAAGATTGTTCTAGGAGGAATGATGTACGTCTATGGTAAAGAAATATGGATGGACATTCCCTGTCTCATGAAATTGAGGTGTTTGTGACTGCGCTAACCGTATTAATAATCTATATTTGTAAATATACAAGAGTTTCTATAGGATAAGTGTTGTAACCATGCACATCAGGGTTCCCAATCATAGTATGATTGA